TGCTGCTGTGCTGCTGCTGTGCTGCTGCTGCTGTGCTGATGAGCTGCTGCTGCTGTGCTGCTGCTGTGCTGCTGTGCTGCTGCTGCTGTGCTGCTGTGCTGATGAGCTGCTGCTGCTGTGCTGCTGCTGCTGTGCTGCTGTGCTGCTGCTGCTGTGCTGCTGCTGTGCTGCTGCTGTGCTGCTGTGCTGCTGTGCTGCTGCTGTGCTGCTGCTGTGCTGCTGCTGCTGTGCTGCTGATGTGCTGATGTGCTCCTGCTGCTGTGCTGCTGCTGCTGTGCTGCTGATGTGCTGCTGCTGTGCTGCTGCTGTGCTGCTGTGCTGCTGCTGCTGTGCTGCTGATGTGCTGATGTGCTCCTGCTGCTGTGCTTGCTAACGATGTGCTGCTGATGTGCAGTGAGGGCTGAAACCTCAGCTTGGGCAGTAGCTGCCCGCAGCAGGGGCAGCGAGGGGCTGTGCCTGTGCCAGGCCTTCCTCCCAGGGCAGGCTCCCGGGATTGGACTTTCAAGGTCCCCCTTCCTGCTCTGTGAGTGGGGCCTTGGCTGTGCTCCGGCTTCCCAGAAACCTCCCCATGCTGGTGTGGTGCTGGTGCTCCTGCCCTGGGGCCAGCCCGCTTGGGGCCTGCCCAGTGCCTCCTCCAAACTACCCAGCTCAAAAGGCAGGTTCCCCTTTACCCAAATGAACGCCTGATCTGCAACCAGCACGGCTGTGCCGATGCCTGCATGTGCAGCTCACATTGTGCTGTGACCCTTACAAATCCAGCTCCATGATAAGTGATTACTGCTTTGTCCCCTTAAGTGACTGCTTTATATAGATGTTACTTCAGATCCTGAACGCTGAATGACCAAATCTCCTGCAGGAAATTATTCTACCTTAAGCATCAGCTTTCGGAAATGCATCATCTGACCTTCTGGGAAAACTGCAGCCGTCAGAGAACACAGGGCAGAGGGTTCTACACACAGCTCCCCTCCACAGGGGATTCCACAGGCTGGGATCACTGCTGCCTGTTTACTGGGATCTCTGCATCCAGCTACATCATCTCAGGAAGGAATCATTTCAGAAGTTCTATTTTATGATGTTTTAACTAATAGCTTAAAGGTCAGTTGCACACAATTCTGAGTTCAAGGTATGACTCCATTTGGACGTGTTTGCTTAGCTAAAACTCATAGGAGGAACTGTTAAATAGGTTTGAACCTTGCTGCTATACTGACTGCTTATGCTTAGTAAGAGACAAAGGAATTTTACACTGGGAAGACGAGCCAGAGCATGATGCATTTACACAGAGCAAAGTATTACCTCATGTTACATGACATGCAGAAGAAGATGCAGTTAGAACATGCACAGTTTATCATTGAGTTTTGCACCTGATGACTCAGCTAATGCAACTACAATGGGGAAAATGGTCAGAACTCTTCAGGATAGCTTCCATTTTTAACAGCTTTTATCAGATGTGTGTTTCCAAGTAATACGTGCCCTGAAAACCAGTGGAGGAAACCTCTGAGAGGCACAGTCTCCCAACACATCCCATTCGGAAGCATCTTAATTCCTGGGAGCTTTGAAGTTTGCCTCATTGCAGCCAAGTGGCCAAACCCCCTTCTCACAGGGATGCAGTGGATGATGGCAATGGGCCTCCCTTCATCAGCCTGCCTTTTCCTCTTTCAGAGCAGCCAGCAGTGATACTGAGGTCAGATGTAGTCCTCATGTAAGTGTTAAAGTGCATTAACACTTTAACTGTAGCAGCAGCAGGGTTGAATTTGCCCTGCTCTGCACTAAGCTCTCAATGCTGTGGGAGACAAGACGGTGCCTTCAGACCTGCCCTGGCTGCCTGCAGCTGGCTATCATGGCACATTCACTCAGCAGGGCCAACCCTCCGACCCCCAGACATGGATGTCTGCCCCACAGTGGATTAACTCCCTACCATCTACACACAGCATTGGGCACATCTTCCTCCCTGCAGCTCACTGATGAGCAAGAACCAAGCTCAAATGACCTGAATTCTATGATTTTAATCACAGAATTAAGTAGAAAACCCCAAACCACTCTAATTATGCCTATGCTAAATGACTCACCGAGCTCTTTATGTGACCACATTGTGCAGGACCTAACAGGGAGAGAAGCGAAAGCACTGCCCTCCCAGGGAACTGTCACTCCAGCCATGGAATCCAGATTCCAGGGAGCTTTTCATGGGAAGAATTCCTGGCAAACTTGAAAGCACAGAGTGCCTGAAGCCATGCAGTTAGGTGTGAGGCACCTAATGCTCCCCAGTTATCACACAAGTTATCAGACACGGGAGCAGCCACACAGCCACATCATCCGCACTAACAAGGACATTTTTAACCAAGCAGGAAAAGACAATAACCTGGAACGACCAGGAACCGCCAGAAGGGACAAACTGAAAGTCGCTGTTTTTCTAAGTCAACTGGAATAAAAGGAAAAGGGGAAAAAAGAAAAAAGTGAAGAGCAAGCCAAGATTTTAGCCACGCGCTTCCTGAGCCAACTGCGCGCATTGATTTGTGGCAGTGAAAAGGAAAAGCTGGAATGACCCAAGCGGCTCTTCTCAGGAAGCTGCAGATACCCAGCTGGCAACCCGTGACCACAGATTTGAGACAGTTGTGGAAGATTCCTCACTCTTCTAGGAGGAGACATTGTGTAACGGAGTTATGGGAAGAACACGCAATATGAGTTACTGTAAGCCTTAAATGGGCTCCGACACAATAGACTATTGACAGCAAATTGCGCGTCCCATTCCAAGGTCGTGTGTAGAAACATTTTGTAGAAGAAAAATGATAAGGTTTTTTGGTTTAATGCTGCGTGCCAGCACTATCCATCCTCCTGTGACTGCAGGAAGTGACCTCCCAAAGAGCCGCAGGAACAGCCCAAGTTTTGGTACTTCTTGTGGCGTTTTGTTTTTCTGCAATGCTCCATGGCTGAGAAATCATTTCTATGGATATGTGACACGTAAATTCATTGTTCACAGAACCCCGGCCTGGTTTGGGTTGGAGGGACCTTACAGCTCCTCCAGCTCCAAACCCCTGCCACGGGCAGGGACCCCTTCCACTAGAGCAGCTTGCCCCAAGCCCCTGTGTCCAACCTGGCCTTTTAACTAATCCTGCTAAAAACTAAGAAGTATCCATGCAGTTTATTTCACTGAAACCCTTCATTTTCTTTCTTAGGACCTCATCCTGCCCTGGGACTTAGCAAACCTGACTTTCCTACCCAGGATTTTACTGAGAGGATCTGTGCTCCTTGAACTGAAGCCCTGCTGCCTTCCCATTCCGGGTAAATCCTGCTCTTGTGCATCTGTTGAACCTGCAGAGCGTTTTACCCTCCCTGGGCGCCCCAGGAGCAGCAGCAGCACTTGTGATTGGCAGAGCGAACCCAAAGGCTCTTCCCACACAGGGAACCGCGTGTAGCTCAGTGTCCCTGCGAAAACAGGGATTCATTACCCAGAACAGGTACTGTCCAAGGGCGGTGGAATTGCCAGCTTTGAAAACGACAGAATCAGCACCAACGGATTGAACATTACAGGGGCATTCCTCACAGCAAGCTCACTGCAGCATTACAACAGAGCAAACATTAATCCAACTGCAGGATTTCTGGCAAGAGGCAGACAGACAACTCCAATTAAACCATGCATTAAATCCCTTGCCAAGCAGGGATGGAGCCCTGTGCCCGTACCACTGTACTGCGGTACAGAATGCTACAATCGCAGGATCAGCCAGGCTGGAAAAGCCCTTCAAGCTCATCCAGTCCAACCCTTACCCCAGCACTGCCAAGGCCACCACTAACCCATGGCACTGAGGCCTTGTCTCCACGGGGTGTGAACCCTTGCAGGGACGGTGACTGCAGCCCTGCCCTGGGCAGCCTGTTCCAATGCCTGAGCACCCTCTGGGGCAGGAATTGTTCCTCAGCTCCATCTAAACCTGCCCTGGTGCAGCTTGAGGCCGGTTCCTCTTGTGCCATCCCTTGTTCCTTGGGAGCAGAGCCCAGCCCCTCCTGGCTCCATCCTCCTGTCAGGCACTTTTAGGGAGCCATCAGGTCCCCCCTGAGCCTTCTCTTCTCCACACTGAAGCCCCAGGTCCCTCAGCCCTTCCCCATCCCATTTGTGCTCCAGGCCCTTCCCACCCCAGCTCCTTTCCCATGAGCATTTTCCGGCCGCTCTTCCCCAAGCCTGGAGCGTTCCTGGGGTTCCTGTGGCCCAAGTGCAGGCCCCAGCACTGAGCCTTGTTGAACCCCATCCCATCGGCCTCGTCCCCTCCATGCAGCCTGTGCAGAGCCCTCTGCAGGACTCCTGCCCCCAGCACACCAGCACTGCCACCCGCCGTGGCGCTGCCTGGGGCCCTCTGAGTGCTGCCGCTGGACAGCGCTGGCGCGGGGCCCTGGGGCCACCGCAGCACCGCCAACACCTGAGGCGTCAACCCCGACACCGCAAACCCTGACGTCATGGGCGCGTCATCTCCCTTCGGGGCACACGCAAGGGCACACATCAAGGGCGACAAACCGCGGCTGGAGCGGGACTGCGCTGAGTGCCCCCCAGCGCAGCAGCCCCGTTATTCGTTATCCAGCCCGGAGGGTGAATGAAGCCGCCATTAAACGTCAAACCCCGGCCGTGACGTCACGCTGAACGCCGGCGCGCGGGCCCGGCCGTGACGTCACGCTGAACGCCGGCGCGCGGGCCGCCCGCCGCGGGGCACGCCGGGGGCTGTAGTCCTCCCGGCCGCGAGGGGGCGCGGCTGCGCAGTGCGGCGGGCGGGCGGCGCGGACACGGACCCGGACACGGACCCGCCCACCGGTGCGGCGGGCAGCGGGGTCCGCGCTCGGCCGCCCGCGGGGCCGGTCACGGGCTGGGGCTGGGTCTCGGTCTCGGTGTGGGTCTCGGTGTGGGTGTGTGTCTGTGTCGGCGCTGCCCGCCCGCCCCGCGCAGGGATGTTCTCCAGGAAGGGCCACGCCGATGTCAGGAAATCCACGCAGAAGGCGCTGGACCCGAAGCGGGACGTACTCACCCGCCTCAAGCACCTCCGCGCGCTGCTGGGTGAGTGCGGCCGCCGCGGCGCTGAGGGGAGCGGGCGGGGCCGGGAGACCCCCGCCCCTGCGCCCCACGGGCAGCGAAACCCAGGGGGGCCGGGCGGGAGGAGCCTCACCTCAGCGAAAGCCTCACCTCGAGGCGAAGGTGCCGGCCGCGCCCGCCTCCCGTTCAGCCTCGGTGCCTCCGTCCGTTCACCGGCGGTGCTGTCCTCAGGCGGGAGCGCGCTGCGGTGTGCAGGCTTGACAGGCAGCCCCCGCTGAAGGTGCCCGTGCCTGCCCCGCGTTACCGCAGCTTTCCCCAAGCTCCCTTGGCAGTGCTGGGGAGCTCCGGGCGCTTCTCGGCGCTGTGGGAAGGCAGCAGCCCGCCTCCTTCCCCAGTTCCCGGAGCCCATGCAGGAGGTTATTGCCGTGCTCTGCTGCTCCTGGCTTCGGAAACTTGGGTCGCTTGTGTCGAAATACTTGTGCTGCAGCATTGTTGTTTGGGGACAAAAGCCGTGCCTACATGGGTGATTTCCTGCGGGGCTCTTCGGAAGAGCAGTTCTAGGAACTCTGCTCTTGTCAACAGCACGTTGACAACTTGTCCTTCTTCCTTGCTTCCTTGCGGAGAGCTGCTTTTCTGGGGCCAGGCTGAGAGAGCTGGGCTGGGGCAGCCTGGAGAAGAGAAGGCTCCTGAAGGGGAGACCTGAGAGCAGCTCCAGTGCCTGAAGGGGCTGCAGGAAAGCTGGAGAGGGGCTTGGGACAAGGGATGGAGGGACAGGCCAAGGGGAATGGCTTGAACCTGCCCGAGGGGAGACTGAGCTGAGCTCTTAGGCAGAAGCTCTTCCCTGTGAGGGTGCTGAGGCGCTGGCACAGGGTGCCCAGAGAAGCTGTGGCTGCCCCATCCCTGGCAGTGTTCAAGGCCAGGTTGGACCCAGGGGCTTGGAGCAAGCTGCTCCAGTGGAAGGGATCCCTGCCCGTGGCAGGGGTTGGAGCTTTCAGGTCCTTTCAACCCAAACCAGGCTGGAATTCTGTGATTTCAGCTGTGAGAAACGAGTTGCTAAGATTTGGTTGGCCTCGTGTTCTCTGTTACTCAGCAAACTGCAGCAGGAGAATGCTTTTAAGAGGTTTTGTGCACTGTCTCTGTTCAGGAGCATCGGTGGCAGTGTGTGTTTATCTCAGTTTAGATTGTTCTCCTTGGTAAGAAGGAGGAGAAAATGATCTGATCTGTACCAGTGTACTGCAGCCCTTGGCTAGTTTGCCGTTTCAGTCAGGTTTGCAGGTGTGTTAAAGCCTCAAAGACGTTGTGTTGTGGGCTGTGAGAAGCAAGTGTCTGGAGGGGAGGGCCTGGTCAGGAGAGAGCAGGAGGCTGCAGGGCTGCACCAGTGAACCGCCCTGTGGGCAGCGTGGGCCCATTCCCGGTGCTGGAGATGGAACTGCATCTGTGAGGAGGGAACATACACAAACAGGTTTGAACGTTCTGTAGCAAATCAAGGAGCCATTGTGGTGAGGACCCTGAGTGTGGTCCTGGGAAGAGCAGTGCTTCTCTCCCTTGGGATGGAGCCCTGGAGAAAGCTGTGCTCAGGGCGTGGAAATGAGTGAATGAAGTGCAAGCCAAGTCTGTATTGCTTTAGCTTGCTACGGGCATCTTGCTGACTTTTTTGGGACGTGTTTCGTACGCATGAGTAACCATCCCCCTGGTTTGTGTTGTTCCCTTGTGATCTGCTGCACTGAAGTAGCTAATCTGAACCAGAGACTTCTGTGGGTAATCGATCAGTGGACAAGTGCTGGACAGATCTGTAACTGGTCTTGAGTCATGCTCTGGAAGTGGCCAGGTCTCGCTCATCTTGTGACCAGCAATGCACGCAGGTTTGATGTGCCCAGACCATAGACAGTTAATATTCCCCGTGTGGACTCACAAGTGGAGCAGTTCTGACTGCTGTGGTGGTGGGACACAAGAGTCTCACGGGTTGGAGCCCCTCAGCACCTGCAGTCTGCACGTTGTTTGTGAACAGCATTGAAGCTTAGCTTTGGAATTAGTGCTGAGTGAAGGGTCTGTGGCTGCTCTGGGTATAAATTCCTCCTGTTCTGTATGTACAGAATCTCCATAGTTGTCAATCTGGTGTCAGTTTCGTGTTGATTTCCCTCTGAGGACCAAATGTGTGTATGAGAACTTTGTTTGCCTTTCTATGCATTTAATTCTTAATGGTACCACGTATTTAAGGGCAGGACATTGGAAGGGTGAGAGCACATTCCTTACCTGCATTATGATGTGCCTTTTAACTGTGTATGTCTCATTGCTCGTGTGCTGTGCAAGCAATAGGAAAAGAATGGCAAGTTTCAGTGTAAAAAAAAAAAAAATGTTGGGAAGCTTCTTGTTTCTGAGGTGAGGTTTAGAGCACTTTGGGAAAGCATCCTGGGAGAGATGCTCTGAGAGGCTGGAATGCGAGCTCGCAGACCATGTGTGTCGTCCTGCTCCACCAGCCCCACGGGAGTAAAGGGACTTGAAGAAACAAGAAGTACAGCAGCTTGGGTTAATGTTCCCCTTTCAGCCTCTCGGAAGGACACCACTAGGTTAAGGTGAAACACTGGTGTGGCTGTGGCTCTTGGTGGTACCCATCCTAGGGAGCGTGATGGTTTGTGTGCAGGACAGAAGGTTGTCAGGCTCTGGTGACAGAGCTGACGGGTGGAACTAATGGGAAATACACCCATGAGCGTGACGAAATTAACTGATGTCCTCAGGCAGATGGAACAGAAGGGGAGAGCGGTGCCTGGTGCTTTCTGTAAAAGTACTGACAACCCAGCTGGTAATGGGGAAATATCCCCATCACTGCTCAGGAAGTAGCCACTGCCAGAGGTAGTGACCTGATGTTTTGATTAAACTTCCTGTTGAACACTGGTTTCGGGTGAAGCTGTCATCAGAACCAGAGGGCTGGGCAGTGAATGAGGGCCTTGCTGGCTGCAGTGCTGTGATGTGACAGCTGGCTGTCTCGTAGGGGATGTGGCTTGTTGCAAGGGCTGTGTCAAAGCAGGCTGTGGTCCTGTTCCTGATGTCTGCCTTTGAGAACATCAATGTAAACACTTCAGATAACATGGGAGTGGCTTTTTGAAGATAATATCTTCAGAGATACTGTTGCAAGTGCATGTTTTATGGTATTGTTCAGCAGGGGGAATGAAGCAACTCATGGTAAGGATCTCTCCTGTATTTAAAGCAAACTGAGCTTTTGGCATAGAGTCTCAAAAAGAGTTGGATGTTTCTTTCTCTTTCTGTCCCCCTGCGGTGTGGCACTCCTTGTGCTGGCCAGGGCTAGCAATGTGTGCGTCTTCGTGTCCTCCCACCCCAGTCATTTCACTCCCTGTCCCCAACTGCTTGGCTCAGGCCACAGTGGCACATGTTCTCAAAATAACTGCCCTGTTCTTGTGTTTCCGTAGGAGGTGCCATCCTCTCCTCCTTTGTTAGCTTTAAATCACAGGAATTAATCTGTAAACAAAATGACAGTTACTCCTCTGAGATCCTGCTGACGCAGGAGGGTAGGAATCAGAGGATGGTATAACAGGGGAGGGATGAGAAGGAGGAATATGTATTTCCATAAATAAGGGGTTGTGTGAGCACCAGGATCAGTAACACACAGTTTGATGGCTTCAGGTCCCTTAGCTACCATCTGTTTGTCCAGTACCCAAACGGAAAGAAAAGATTCCTGTACATTTGTGTTGCTGTAACATCCATCCCTCAAGTCTCTGATGCCCTTCAGGATCTGAGCTCCTACTTCCTGTGGGCAGTCCCTACCTGCATGGCCATGCAAAGCACTCACTGGAATCACAATGGTGTTAGGGAAATGACCAGAAAAGTTCCTTTAGTTTTGTTACTGTAAAGACAAACTGACTTTCAGAACTTGGGTAAAATCGGTAGGAATGTTTTTTTTCCCAAATACAGTGTCAACAGTGTGGTCTTTTTAGGATGGACTTGAGCCACGCTGGTGTTATAAGCAATGGTGGTGACAAGCTTGGCTCTTTCACAGTGATTTGGCCATAAATGAAGCCCTCTGCACTGTTTCCCGGGTTAGTGTCTGCGGGACATTGTTTAGCATAAAAATGTGTCTTTGCTCTTTAAAACTTTGTTTCTGTGACTGTTCATGGGCAAAAATATTCTTTCTTTTTTTAAGCATCTCAGTGTTTTCTCCTCCGACACAAGTGACAAGTTCACCCTAACATCTTTGCACGCCTTAGTGTATTCCCCATGAGTTTTTCTTCTGGTTCCAAGAATTGCTCTGTCGTGACTTATTTTTTATGAGTAATGGTGTAGCAGGAACAACAGCTACCCTCTGCTGTAGTTCTCCAGTAATTTACATGAGGTCACTCTCTGCTCATGCAGAATATGGGTAAGTTTTTATTTCATGAGGGTGCTGAGCGTTTTCTGTGTGGTGTTGTTACTCCTCCCAATTTCAGAGGGATTTGCCAGAGAGCTTTAAGGCTGGAGATAATGTTGCTGTGGAGGTTGTGTCTGTGAACAGACCCTGGTGCTCTAAGTTGCCCACCACCATGCACATTACACTGGGAAACAGCAAAGAGTGGGCCCTTCCCCAGAGCCACCGGTGAATCACTGTGAGCTGCCTGGGATGGGGATGGTGCTGAAGCTGAATTATGGGGCTTCAATTTTCTTGAACTGAATATTGTTAAGGATGATAATGTTGCTTTGAAAGTAGCAGCAGATTGGTGCCGTTGCCAAGCCCAAGAATGAGATACTGAAGGAGGGCAGTGGGGTTTTCCAGTTATGGCACAGGCGTAGGAGAGGTTTTCATTTAGAGACAATCAGAGGTGACCTCTTCCAGCCTTCCTGCTGAGTTTAGAACAGCCCTTATCCTGAGGTTTCACATGAAATTGGAGGTGTTCAGTTATTGTAGAGATTGTTCTAACTAGAGGGGGTTAGTATAGGATGTTGCCATGCTGATGCACCTTTTTGAAGGTAAAACCTGTTTGTAATTTCTGGGGCAAGAGTAGTAATAAAAGTTTGCAATTAACCGGGGTACGAGTGTACCATTGTACCTTC